TGTTTTTCAATAAATTGCTAGGACAAACTTTATTTTTTTCCATAAACTTTATCTAAAAATAAAAGGGAATTACAGTGTTATCTATCAGAACTTTGATATTTAATTTTTGGTTTTTACTAAAATATTTTAATTTTTTATGTGTTGGTTTACTAAATATTTGTAGTTTGCTGGAGGTCCATTTAGTGTGGGGTTTCCAACCTTGGTGTTAATATCAATTGATATTTTGAACTAAATTTTTTTTTTTGTGGTCAGGAAACTGTTCTCAGGATGTCTAGTTCTACTGAACAGATGCTAGTAGCAGCTCTTTATCCTAGCAGTAAACATCCAAAGTGTCTCAAGAGATGGCCAGTGTCCACTTAGTGGCATAAATAACCCAAATTGACAACTGGCTTAGTGCAAAATAATCCTCTTTACTTAGGGCACACTTGTCAGATGGATGCAAGTAGTAACTGCTTGATTAACCCATTTAAATAAAAAATGTTGTCCAAATGAAACTCAACCCCTCATTGAGAGTTAAATATCTCTATTTTCTCTGACTTGGATGTTCTTGTCATATACTGAATCAGACAAACTGACTTTCTATCTAGAACTTTCCTGGGAAATGTCAGTAAGTTATTGTCAGAAGAAATACAAAAGAAAAGGCCTGTTGATTCCATCATTCCCAGTGTTATCTCCTTACTCTCAAGACCAAATAGCTCTGAGTCCTGTTCTGTTTGTTGTGGGAGTTACAGTAGTGGTCATTGGTGCTGCATTTGTGGAGGTTGAGATTCTTGTGCATTTTTAGGTGGCTTTCTAAGAGATAAGGATTTTTTTTTTTTAAATGACCATTAAAGTTTTTTTTTTTTTTTTAATGACTATTCCTCTTTCTTCCCCTTTAAGCTTATCATGGGATTTATCTGGAAATTGATTTGAAAAGAAACAGTTTTAGTTCTTTCAACAGGAGGCATAGGTGGAGCTAAATTAATCCTCTATATAGTTAGTGTGTGGTGTGGTGTCTTTTCCTCCATCAGAAAGCACAGAGTAAAGGGCCTGTGAAATATGTTAATGTGATAGTCCCTTCTGCTCTCCTCCTGTGTAGAAAAGATCACAGGTCCAAACTGATCATCTCAGCACCTACGGTCTGGGTGTTTTTAGGTGAGCCTATATTATACAAGGCAATTCAGTATAAAAAGGCCTTCTGAAAGCAAAGAGAAACCCAAAGGAATATAATAATATTACAGAATGTCCTGCTTGTTTTAGAGAAAGATGCTTTATTTTTTTTTTAAGATTATTTATTTATACAAGCACTGGGTACAGTCAGAAGCGTGGGAGGGTGAGAGAACTCACCAGAGCCAAAGTGGGGAGCAGAACAGGCAGAAGGACCGAGGCACACTGCTGAGGGGAGCAGCAGGCGCAGCAGGAGAGGTCTGAGTGCCATGTGAGACCCTCACCATTGGCCAGGGATTGAACTGGCGCTGCAGAGGCTGCGCTCAGCTTCGCAGCCCAGCGTTCAACCGCTGCGCCACCGGGGAGGCCCGAGAAAGATGCTTTATATTTACCCTGTTTAAAAGGAATATTAATATTCAGCAGTTTTTTATTAATATATTTTATTTTATATAATTCTTACATAATTTTTCATTTTTGCACAATGTATGTATGCATTTTCATTTTGGTTATATTCCCCAAACAATTCCCACCCCCCCTTATTTTTACCTTAATCCCTCCTCCCCCCTTCACCCCATAGTGTGTCTCTGGTTTATAGTTGTTTTTTGATTGTGATTTTTTTCTTCATTATAATTAATTTTTTTCCTGGTCCCTTATTTAGGTTTTCCAAATTCCTGCTATGAGTGAAACTAGAGCTTCCATATGATCCTAGCAATTCCACTCCTAGGTATTTACCCAAAGGACACAGAAACATTAATTCAAATGGGCACCTGTACCCCTATATTTATAGTAGCACTATTTACAATAGCTAATCTATGGATACAGTCCAAATTCTCAGCAGGTTTTTGCCTTTAAATCCAAATAGCAAATATCTCATCATAAAAAGCCTTAAATTTTTTCAGATCATTTCCTTTTGAAAAAATTGGTCTCACTCTGCTTCCAGTCATTATGGAGTAAAATGCCCACTTTAAACAATTGAAAATGAAACACCATCCCAGAATTGCCTTGCACGTATATATACAAACAAGTCTGTCTGGGAGAGACAGATTGTTTCCATGTAACTTAACTTCATCCCAGTACAAAGCTCAAGAATATAAAAATGCCCATCAAATTCATTCTCTCTGAAATCTAACCCCAAATCACTAGACATACAGAAAAGCTGACAAAAATGACCTATCATTTTTGTAAGAAAAATCCATCAAAAATTGATTCAAAAATGAAACAATTTTAGAATTTGCAGACAAAAGTATTAAAATAATAATTTTAACTGGCTTACCTATGTTCAAATTTTATTCAATATTGGAGTTGAAAAAATCCCAAGTTGAACTTCTAGAGAGGAAAGTCTGAGATGAATGTGATTAATAAGAGATTACACATTATTAAAAAAGTAAATATGAAGATAATGCAATGGAGGCTATACCAAATAAACAGGGAGAAAAATATTTTAAATGAATGGATCATTAGTGAGCTGTGGAAATATTTCAGGCAACTTCATACATATGTAATTAGAGTCTCGGAGAGCAGGGGATGAATGGAAAAACTATTTGAAGAAATAATAAAATTTTACCAAATTTGGTGAAAACTATAAAACTCACAGATCCAAGAGTTTCAACAAACCCACACACAAGAAATAGGAAGAAACTATCAAAGGAAACTACCACTACATTTTTCAAAACTAGTGATAAAAAGAGAAAGCACCCAGAAGATGGAAAAAAATGTTACAAGTGGAAGAATTAAGATGATCACCAATTTCCCATAGGAAACAGTAAAACCTTTTTCTTTCTTTTTTTTTTTTTTTAATATTTCTTTATTTATTTTTACAAGCACAGGGTATAGTCAGAAGCGTGAGAGGGTGAGAAAATTCACCAGAGCCAAAGTGGGGAGCAAAACAGGCGGAAGGACCAAGGCACACTGCTGAGGGGAGCAGCAGGCGCAGCAGGAGAGGTCTGTCATGCCATGTGGGATCCTCGCCAGTGGCAGGGGATCGAACCAGTACTACAGAGGGTGTGGGCAGCTTTGCAGCTCAGCGCTCAACCGCTGCGCCACCAGGGGAGGCCCATACAGTAAAACCTTTTTCAAACAAAGAAGTCACCAGTGGACCTGCAGGACATCTCTGTCTGTCTATCTAGCTGTAGATATCAAAAAGGAAATCCCTTAGGCAGAAGGAATGAAGTCACCGGACCCTGCATTGGACATCTGCTCAGTATCTTGTTACATCCTGAGTCAGAGCATTAGTGTACTCCTGCTTCAGCTTCGAGTTTTCTAGCAAGGAGTATGTCACAGGGTAGGAGGGAGTGCAGCGTGAGAAAGACTTAGTCCCTGGTGGGGACCAAAGGGACAGGACTGCCTGATAGCCAGGCCATTTATCTAGCAACTGTTATCGCTGAGAGATTAATGAAGTCCACCCATTGTGTATTTTGGGCTTTTGTTGATATTACAGATTGATCTTTGGCTTAATGAAAACAATTATTTTTAAAGCCGTAAAGTTTTTAATGACTTCTACATTAAGATCTAATCTACTTGGAATTTATTTTTCCACATGAAAACAGTTGGTCTGGAGAATTCTAAATGGAAATGCCATCTCTTTCTCACTAATCTTCAAAGCTAACTGTCAGTCATGGAAGCCTTTCTGTGCTCTCTGCTTATTTAGCTATGTACCAGTATTATGATACCTAGATATGTTTATATTAAATTTGTTAACTGGTAGGGAAGATATTCTATATTATTTCTCCTTTCTTAAATGTATATTGACTCTTCCCCGCATGTCAAATTACCAAAAAGTTTTAGAATCAGTTTTTAAATAGTAAATGATGAGGTTACTAGAAGCTGCAGTTAGATCATGCTATTTCAACTTCTGTTGTTTTGGGTTGATGTATGCAGAAGTCTCCATTTCTGCATGAGGGTGATTCTAAGGAAGGCTCTTCATCCTCACAGCTCTGACAGGCAGACATGGTAGTGAGGGGTGATTCTTTGTGTCTCTAGAGGGCATTTCGAGACAAGATCATTTCCCATTCTCCCAGAGTCACACATATTGCCCTGGAACTAAGGATGTCGTCTCTCACTTGCTCACCATTAGCCTTAGTTATTTTGGTACAGACCATGTTGGTATAACTTCATCCTTGTGATCACATTTATTATCATTACTATATCAAGTGCATATTCCCTGTGTGTTGAAGGTTTTCTTAGAGGCATGAACCGGACTAATACATACCAGATTGGCAGAACATAAAACAGCATTAATTTACTTCTCAGTGTTTTCAGTTGATGTTCCTTGACTGTGTCAAGGGTTGAAGTCTCTGTAATCTCTATTTTAATGCCATGTAGGGGAATATTCAATATTCATCACTTACTATTGAGTGCCTGCTTTGGTCTAAGTTACAGTATTAAGTGCTGAATATTCAGCAGTAAGGAAATGTATGTATGGAACTTTCTCTCATGGGGGATTTCAGCATTTAAACAAAACAAGCAAATATGTAAATATTTAATTTATAGTTGTGCTAAGTGCTACAATGGGAAAATATAGTTTTATCTGAGAACAACTGAAAGGAAAATAATATGCTTTCTAGGTGCTAGAGCACATTATACACAAATGAAACTAATTTAACTTGTAATATAACCAGATTTATATATCAGATTAAATGGACTTTATAATTAATCCATTCATTCATTCCACAGCATCTATGTTCACTGGCACTAGAGTGGTGCAGATAGTTGGCTCACAGAAATGACAAGACCCAGACTATCTTTGAGGAACTCATAGTTTAATGTTTACATAATTAACAGGTATCTCTCATTTAAATAATTGCAAACTGAGTGAAGACTTAAATATATTATTTTCCTCTTTTGTTCTTTTTCAGATGAGGATAGGCATTCACTCGGGCTCCGTGCTGGCTGGCGTCGTGGGGGTGAGGATGCCCAGATACTGCCTTTTTGGAAACAATGTCACACTGGCGAGCAAATTCGAATCTGGAAGTCACCCTCGGCGCATCAATGTCAGTCCTACCACTTACCAGTAAGTGCCCCCTGGCCTCTTCCAGTCTTAAGCATTGCTCTGAGTGGCTGTTATGTTCCTGGGAGACTCTGTTCTTTATCTTGATCCTATCACCGCCCCCCCCACCCTCCAGCCAGGATAGCGTGAGTAGATCTGCCCCCTTAAAAAATTGAGCTGGTGACAAACTTTGATTTGCTCCCTCAGAGAGTGACTTGACTGAGAGGTAAGTGCCACTTTGTCATTTCCCACAATCTCTGTCCTTCTGAGGTTTAAAATATAGGAGTGCAAATGTTAAAGGGCTGCATTACACTAGAACTCTAATATTTGCAGAAAGTCCCTTGGTGTTTAGAAAAATCAAAGAATAAGGCAGGAAAGAGGGTTTGTTTGTTTTTATACATTTGAAAAATGAATATAAATAAGGATTCTCTAGAGTTAAATAAATACAGGGTACAAAGAAAACTTTAAATTTATCTTAAAGGTCATATTTGACAACTCTACATACTTTGACAGCTGAACTTGTCCTTATTTTGTGCTTGATAGATGACATCCGTCTGTTTCCTAAAAATTAAACTCCAAATGGGCAGGAACCATATCTATGCAGCCTCATTGTCATATCCCCAAAGCTTGCAAAAAAAATGTTTAGCACAACATAAGCATTCTATGAATATTTATTGCATAAACAAAAGCATCAACAAGACAAACTCATCTAGAATAAGAAAACAGCATGAGTCTCTTTTTTACCCTGTTGACCTTGGCTTTATTTGTTGGAGTGCAAATTATTTAATTAATTCCATGATTGAGATGACTTTAGAGATCATATTAAAAAGCAATCAAGTCAAAATATTGACCATTATTTTTATTAACATGACTACAGAAAACCTTTAAGTAGAAACTTTAAATTACAGAGATAACAAAAGTTGATTATAATAAAAAAATGGTAATACTTTGAAGCTTTTGACACCACAAATATATAATCAAGAAAAGATAAAGTCTTTCAAAGAGAAGTATTTCCAGATTCATGAGAAAGTGGTGAGAAAGGGGACTGAATTTGCAAATATAAAATCAAGGAGAAGTTGCTTAAGAATCACATCATATTTTGGGTTTTTACATATTTTTTTTTCCTCTTACAGTTCTTCCAATTTCCCTTACAAAATTCTGGATGTAGATGCTGTAGTCATAATTTCCATATTAAACTGAATTTTGGAAACATCCTAGAACAGTGATGATGACAGTCTGTCCTCTAGACCATAGAACGAGGAGGACAAGATCCTACCAACCCCCTCACCTCCATGCTGTTACCATGGCTACATTTTTCCCCAATATAGAGCTAATACTTATGGTCTGTGTTTGTGTAACTTGGTGTAGATTTACATCTGCTGGAAATTCCATTTAAAAATTGTGTATAAAGAATGGATCGACTGTGTGAGGAGTTCTGTAGCTTACTTTGCTTACATATGACCAAAAAAAAAAAGAAAAAGAAAACAGAAGAATCCCCCTCACACACACATACCACCCAAGGCCAGTGCATTTGGGTACTCTGAGTCTTTATAATCTTTTTCATAATCATTGGGTTTATGATGATGCCAGTGATGTATAAGTTCTGACAGACTGAGTTATCTCCGGCACTGCTTGTGTCAAAATTGTGTTCTGTTGCTGTTTTCCTGAAAACAAATAAGCAAGCAACAAATGGAGGCATGGGTGGGGACATTGAATTGCCATGTGGGTAGATTCTTAAAGAATCTGGCCTCAAATCATGTCATTCATACTAATACTTTATAAAAATATTTTTACATTTAGTCTATCCTCACATAACCCTTTTCCTTCCTTTTTGCTGTCTTCCTTCCCACCATATTGGTTGACCACGTGATAGGCACTAATGTGATAAGCATGACCAGCATAACTAGGATCTTTGCTCTTGTGGATGAGACTGCAGACGAGGAGTTGGATGTATCTGAGTAGTCGACAACTACAGCAGACCAGGGCCAAGGTCCTGATTAGAGTATTAGAGCAACAGGAGGAAGGGGCTAAAATGAGGACAAAGAAACTGAAGTCAAATTAGAGAAAGTGGTAAATCATATAAAGGAGTTTTGAATTAATTCCAAAAACAGTGAAGAGCACTAAAGAGTTCTAAGCAAATGAGTAATGTGATTAGATTTGTGCTTTAAAGAGATCGCCACGCTTGTAAACTGGAGAATAAGTTAGGTTGTGAGAGAGGCAGCCAGCCAGTGATTGACAGCAGGCAATCAATCTCTATTTCCTGCATGGAAATGCAGCTGATTACTCAAATCTAAGAGTCCCATCTTCCCATGCTTCTGAAGAGTGATTGGACTCTGACCACTGACATCCATTTTAATCTGGGGTACCATTAAAGCAAATGCACCTTGGTTCCTTATAAGTTTCTAGCATCTTAAAATCAGGTCTATGAGCTCTGCATACCTGGGTTTTCAGATTCTGGATCTGTTGTGGCTAAGTACTTTGTGTTGGTTTCCTGTCCTCCATTCTGCACAGTTCAGCTGCTGCGTGTATACCTGTTCTGTTCCACACTGCAAGGGTGATTTATGAACCAACAGGTGTAGTGTGTACTTCCCCAGGACACCCAAAGTGAAATGTCAGGATTGATGGCGCAGAGATAGTCTCAATAAGGAGGTAATATTGCACTTTCTTAGAGTAAATAGGAATTTATGAAATGAAACTCACTCATGCAAGCTTGAAATCTTGAGTTTTCCTTCTGACATCCTTCATCATGTCCAATGTGTTCTGACTATCTTAAAATATTCAGAGAGGGGCCTCCCCGGTGGCGCAGCGGTTGAGCGCTGGGTTGCGAAGTTGCCCGCGGCCTCTGTGGCACCGGTTCGATCCCCGGCTGCTCCCCAGCCACCAGAGGAGGGTCCCACATGGCCCGCAGACCTCTCCTGCCGCCCGCTGCTCCCCTCAGCACTGTACTTCGGTCCTTCTGCCTGCTCTGCTCCCTGCTCTGGCTCTGGTGAATTCTCTCACCCTCCCGCGCTTCTGACTGTACCCAGTGCTTGTATAAACAAACAAACAAACAAAAAAAAATTCAGAGAGATTTCTATTCAATTTATTTTTAATAAGGATTTAATCATCATGATCTTTGAATAGAGTAGTTGAATACAATAATTTAATTTTCTAAATAATTCATTTCAAATACATTTTGACTGAAATACTTAAATAATTGATTCAAATAATACTTTTGTAAATACTTTAAAGTACTAAAGTTAAAAGAAATAATAAAATACCTATATATTTATTACTTTATTATATTTGACTCAGATATTATTGAATAGAAGTAAAACATTTTCTTTGGATTTTTCTTTTTCATTGTGATGCACACTCTATTTAGTGTGTTTCAAAGTCCAGTGTTTTATACATTAACTTGCTCATATGAATGTAGACATTAATAATAGATTTTTATTTTACATGTTTTAATTGGCATGTGTGATATTTCACCATAAGTCTTTCTCATTTTATTCTTATGATCTATTCATGTAAAGTATATAGCTTTAATATACTATACAACATCCCAGTATATGGCTGCACCCCATATTTAATTTTCATTCATCTGTTCTTATATTGATGAACACTTAAGTTTTATCTAATTTTTGTGATAAGATGTGCTCCCATGAACATTTATCTACCTATCAATGTATCAGCTAGGCTACTTGACTTTTCATATTACAGAAATAATTGGGTTGCCTGTAGGTTGCTAGAATTGGAATGATCAGTGTTGTTTATCTGAAAATTCATCTGGACATATAATAAAGATTTTTGGAATCAGGGCCATAATTTATATATAATAGTCTTCATTTTTTAGACAGAGTGACTCATCTCCTTGCTGGCAGCGATGCCCACTATCATTTCCTCTTCAACCTACAGCACTTTATTGCTAGTTTTATTACTGGACAAAAAGAACTGCTTAATGAGTTTTGAGTTTTCAGTGTTAGATGCTTTTATTTTTCTCCAGTAAGTGTGATGTTTACACCCATTTTGTCCCATACTTACCCAATTAAAAATAATGTGCACATTACAATTATCTTTTAACACATGCTACTGATCTGTGAAACTGAAATAATTGCTTATATTAGGATGGTTTCAGCAAATTTTGAAATGGCATGAATAATCTAATGATTTGCCAGAGCAGAATTGTTTACCTTGTTACGTACAAACTAAAAAAGTACAAAACATTTTAATATTTTCTTTAAACATTTTTCTTTTCCTGATTTACAACTGATCTGGTTCTGAGCTTCAGACTGCCCACTTTTCATTCATTGATAAAGGCCCCTGAAAATGAAGTAGCCTTGGGATCAGGGCTGTATAATCAGCTCATCCTGCCTGGGCATGTTCACGGGACAGGAGAGAGTCTGGGGTCAATGCTCAGAGTCAGAGCACAAAGCTTGGCATCCAGGCTCAATGACGAGTTATTGTGTTTCATGATTCAGGAAATGAATTTAGCAACTTTATTTCTCTGGGTTCTATTTTCTCATCTTTACATTATTTGAGAAGATTACTGTTAGGGTTAAATATGATGTTTATACAGATCTCAATACTTGAAATACAGTGGGTATTCATGTATTGCTTCATCTTAGCCTTTCATGAAGGAATAAATCATATTATTTCTATTTTATTCTTATATTTTATACATTTAGCCATGTTAAATGATTTATGGTAATTACAGTCCTCATCTGGCAGTCCCAAGGAAACAATCGATTTTATAATTTAGACAAAGGCATTCTGAGCTATGACTCAGAACTGAGTGAGTAATCAGTTTAGTCCTACAAATTTTTTGTTTCGTTTTTCTGTAGTTTTGTAATTCAGGTAATATGAGCTTACAATGTTGTGTGGGATCCAGAAGTACGAATTCTCTTTCTACACTCACCACCAACCATCCATCTCTATCCCTTCCCCACCTCCCTCTCTGGTAACCACATTCTGATGTCAGAGTCTAGAGGTTGGATTTTGTTTTCCTCCCCCGCCCCTTATATTGCACAAATGAGTAAAATCATATTGTATTTGTCTTTCTCCTTCTTCATTCATCAAGCATCATCCCTTTAAGGTTTATCCTTGTTATCAGGAGTGGCAAGATTTCATTGTTTTATGACTAATATTCTTGTGTGTACCATGTCGTCTTTACCCATTCATACCTTTCAGTACTTGGCATGTTTCGATATATTTGCTAGTATGAATAGGGCAGTGAGGAACATAGCATTGCACATATTTTTTTGGAATAGTGTTTTCATATTCTTTGGGTAAATGCCCAGATGTAGAATTACTGGATCATTTGGCAGTTCATTTTTTAATTTTCTGAGGAACATCCACACTGTTTTTCTTAGTACCTTTACCAATTTACATTATTATCAGCAGTACATGGGGGTTCCTTTTTCTCCATATTCTCCCCAGCACTTTTAATTTTTTGACTTTTTGATAATAACCATTTGGACTGGTATAAAGTGGTTTGCATTGCCATAATGATAAATGATGTAGAACATCTTTTCATTTGTCTGTTAGCTCTCTGTGTGTCTCCTTTGGTGAAATGCCTATTTATATCCTCTGCCTATATTTTAATTGAGTACATTATTTTGTTTTTGAGTCGTGTGAGTTGTTTATATGTTTAGGATATTAACCCCATGTCCAATGCATGATTTACAAATATCTTCTATGCAATAGGCTGTCTTTTTAAACAATGGTTTCTTTTCTATGCAGATGATTTTTGGTTTGATGTAACCCTGTTGTTTCTCGTGCCTTCAGAGATTAATCCAAAAGACACAACTGAGACTAATATTAAAGAACTGTCACCTCTGTTATCATCCACATATTTTATGGCTTGCTGGAGTTTTTCTCTGTTCCTTTTTTTCCCTTCCCTTGAGGCTTGCTGTTTTACCTAGTGTGTCTAAGTTGCCTTTTCACCATCTTTTGTGTTTTCACTGTAGGTTTTTGCTTTGTGGTTACTGTGAGGTTCAAATATGAAATCATATGTATATATTGATCTGCACTGAGCTGATAACTACTTATATTTGAAAACAGTCCATTCTGTGTATTTTTTACTACCCCTGCAACACTGCACTTTGGCTGGGTTTGGTTTCCATTCCAGACTAAGGTGTGCTCAGCGCAGGTGCTGTGGGTCTAGCCTTGGTGTGTGTCTGGCTGGAGTTGCTGCAGACCCCACTTGGTATTTCTGTGTGGTCTGCCATGTCGTTGTCACCTGGTGGTGTCAGCATTGTGGCTAGTTGCTGGAGCTGGGCTCTCACATGGCTAGATTGCAGGAGGTGCTCTGGGGTAACTGGGCTATTGGTGGTAGAAACTGCACTATGTGCCTGTTTGAGATCTGGAGGTGGCAACTTGCATGCGTGACTTGGAGAAAAAAGAGTTGAGTTTTAGAAGTGGCTGAGGGTGCCTGACTGGGGCTTTGCAGGGCTGTGGACCCGGCCACTGCTTAACTGAGGTGCACCCAGGCTGGGATCTTGCAGGGGTCAGGCTGAGCTTGGGCTGACAGTGGATTGAGGCTGAGGGTAGAGTCCAGTTGCTAGTTGGGTATGTTTGAGCGTGATTTTAGGTACTTGTGAGTAGGCAGGGGTGTCCACCAGGGGCCTTTCCTTGTTTATCTACCAAGAGTAGACCCTCTTGATTCTTGTTTCTTGGTCTTAGCCTGCATGGCTACTCCAGGGAGTGGATGGAGCTCTCCTCAGGGATTCACTTTAGGGTCTGATAGTGTGGAAGCTGAGTTCCAGATGACACCCACCTTGCCAACAGCAATGTCAAGGGTTGCCAAGATACTGCCAGCTGGTGACCTCTTTCCTGGATCATTCCCTAGGGCTCCTTACCTCCCCAGCCAACACTATGGTATATGGTATTTGTTCACCTATGGAGAGAGCAAGGCAAATGAATCTCTTGCTGGCTTATTAACACCTGGTTCTCACTGTCTGCTTCCCTCAGTGCAGGGTCTCCTGGAGCTCATCTCAAAGTAGGGTCATAGGGTTGGGCTGATGAGTGTCAGAGGTCGCCCTCTCCCTGCTCCCCAGGGAAAAGTTCTGCACCTTAGACACATTTTTTCTGATTGTGCCACCTGCCCTGTGATGGGCTTTCTTCTTGGCTAAACATCCCTCTGACTCATCTGGGTATTGCCTTTTTTCCCTTGGTTGTGGAAACTATTCAGCCAGCAGGTTTCTGCTGTGTAGACTAGTACATAGTTAGGTGTAGATGCTGTGATCATGAGAGGAGGGAAGCATGAGTCCTCCCTCTTCCACCATCTTGGGGCTACCTCTCTCCCTACCCAATTTTATTTGCAAAGGCATCTAATTGATGACTAAGTCATAGTCATGTGATAAAAAATGTTTATTTTCTTAGCACATACAGCAGTTCCATCTTATCTGTGGTTGTACTTCCCACAGCTTCATACGCCAGGTCAGCTGCATCTGAAAATAATAAGTACATTATGTTTTGAGAGGAGTGACAAAATTCACATAATATATATTGTTATTATTATGGTATAGTGTATAATATATATCATTATCATTATAATTCTATTTTATTATTGTTTCTAACCTCTTACTGTGCCTAAATTAAACTTTGTCATAGATATCTATGTATTGGAATAAACATTACTCATACAGGGTTAACTGTCTGAAATTCAGGCATCCACTGGGGCGCTTGAACTGTATCTTCTGCAGAGAAGTAGAGACTACTGTTGAGACAGATAAGCTAATTAGATTACCACAACATTTGTGGCTTAAATTATACAAATTCATGATCTTAGTTCTGTGAGACAGAAGACTGACATGGGACAAAACCAAGGTGTCATCTAGGCTGCATTCTTTTCTGGGAGTTGGACAAGACACTGGCTTTTTGCCTTGTTCAACTCTAGAAGCCGCATCATTCTTTGGTTCACGGCTCCATCCTCCATCATAAAGTGGGTGATACAGCTTCTCTTAATGCTGCATTCTTTGTCACATCTGCGTTTCCAACTCTTCCCTTCTTTCTCCTTCTTCTACTTTATATATAAGATTTATTTATTTATGCATACAAGAGCTGGGGTATGGACCAGAGGTGTGTGGGGGGGTGGTGAGAGGATTCACCAGAGACAGAGTGGGGAGCAGAACAGGTAGATTGACTGATGTACACTGCTGAGGGGAGCAGCAGGTGAGGTGGGAGAGGTCTGCTGTGCCATGTGGGCTGTGCCATGTGGGGATCAAACTTATGCTGTAGAGGCTGCGGACAGCTTCGTAGGTTGCATCTTAACCCCTTGTGCCACCAGGGAGGCCCGTCTCTCTTTTACTTTTAAGAACCCTTGTGATTACACTGGGTCCATTGGAGGGTCATTTTTTTTTTTAAAGTCAGCTAACTTGCAACCTTAGTTCATCTTTGCCCTGTATCCTAACATAGTTGCCGATTCTTTGGGCTGGGACATGAACATTTGGACTTTTGGGGGAAGAGGATGATTATTCTGCTTACAATAAGGGGGAACCTCAGGGATGAAATCTCCCTGTAGCTGTAGCCTTGATCCTTCCTTGTCCATGAGAAAAAAATTTAAATCAATTATGATAAAATATCTGGTGAAGAAAAAGAATTGTGCAATATGAGGTTTCTGGCTTCTAAAAGGTTTTTACTGGAATTTGAGATTTCTGAAGAGTGAAACCTATTACAGGGTGACTAAGAAGCAACAGAAATTTCTCACAATTTTGGAGGTGGAAGTCCAAGGTCATGTTACTGTCATAGCCCAGGTTCTGGGAAGAGTGGCTTGCAGATGTCTGAGTTCCTGACTTCTTGTTTCCTCATATCAGGGGGAGAAGCAAGCTCTTTTGTAATTCTTAGAAAGGTAATCACCTCATTCCTGATTTCATTTCACCCTGTTCCTTTAGGGGAATACCTAAATACCATCACCTTTAGGGGAAGAGTTTCAGCAAATGAAAACTGGGATGACAGAAACATTCAGTCCTATTGTTAAGAAGTAGATTTGCTGACTTAAGGAGGAATTGTCCTAAGAAATGGAAATTTTTTTAAAGATTTGTTTATTTATGCACACAAGAACTGGGGTGTAAGCCAGAGGTGTTGGGGGGGGCGGTGAGAGGATTCACTAGAGACAGAGTGGGGAGCAGAACAGGAAGATCTACGAAATACACTGCCAAGGGGAGCAGCCAGCGAGACAGGAAAGGTCTGCTGCACCATGTGGGTCAGCTCCTTGGCTGGCCAGGGATAGAACTCTTGCTGAAGTGGCTGGTGATAGCTTGATGGCACTGTCTTTAACCCCTGCACCACCAGGGAGGCCCGAGAAATTGGATTTTTACAAAGATGCCTGAGCCTTCTCTCCACAATATGCCCTCAGACATAGCTATCCCTTGTATAATTTCTAAAATAGCTGGGCTTTAAGAAGTTGCAATACCCCACAAACCTAAAGTTAGGCTGAAGTTTGGGATAGTGAGTACTTTCCTAGCTCAGGTATCAGAACTGAATCATATCGCAGATATTACCTTGCTGTGTGATTTCTGGCAGGCCAGGTAATATGCGTGGCTTGATCTCTCCTCTGCAATGAGAGGGATGATTTCTAAAACATCCTTTAGCTTTAAAATGAGATGTTAATACTGCTAGCTAATGTTTATGGAATTACTTAGTCTCTCTCCAAGCTTGGAGACCTGAGACTTAGGTGAAATAAGTGTGGGTGCCAGAACTCAAAGAGCTGACTTACCTGAAGGCTGAGGTCTATTTCCATAGCTAATGGTAAGAAACAGTGATTTCTGAAGATAGCTTGCATGGATGGGAGGACAATGAGGAAGACAATAGGAAGCGAGCTAGAATCAGGAGAGGAGATTGCATTCCTTCCCTCTGTACATGTAAATATGCTGTCCTGTCTGGCAGTCCTTTCCATACCATGGATGATAAAGAGGAGGTGTGTTCTTTCTTATATGGTGTTTCCGTATTTCCAACCATAACAGTATCTCTAAATCTGGATCTGAACATGAGTTACATATGTCAATGTTATAGCAAATAGACACTTCTAGCCATCTTTTGTTTCTGTGAGGCTAAAACAGTTTGTGGGATTGTGTCTCTAAAGCATGTAAGAAAAGTCACCAGTAATATGGGCTTGCTATGTAGGATTTTACTTTAGGTAATGTGGAAGAATGCATCTTTTTAGTATAGCAAAACATGTATGGAATAATTGAAAAAAAGACATTTTGGTTAGAAGTTAATAGTTGTTGGGCCTCCCTGGTGGCACAGTGGGTTGAGTGCAGTGCAGTGAAGCTGTCCACAGCCTCCACAGCATAGGTTCGATTCCCAGCCTGCCAGGGAGATACCCACATGGCGCAGCAGACCTCTCCTGGCTCACCCGCTGCTCCCCTCAGCAGTGTATTTCAGTAGATCTTCCTGCTCTGCTCCCCACTCTGTCTCTGGTGAATTCTCTCACCCTCCCGCACCTCTGGCCTGTACCCTAGTTCTTGTATAAATAAAAATAAATCTTAAAAAAATTTAATAGTTGAGTTTAAAAACTCCTTTTTTTAAGATTTTTAAAAATTTATTTATGCATAGACAAACTGGGGTGTAGTCCAGAGGTGCAAGGGTTGAGAAGATTTAGCAGAGACAGAGTGGGGAGCAGAGCAGGTGGATCTACTGAAATACAATGCTGAGGGGTGCAGGAGAGGTCTGCTGCACCATGTGTGGGTCATCTCCCTAGATGGGGATCAAACTCAGATCTCAGCAGTGGTAGTGCTGAGACTTAACCCTTAGGCCACCAGGGAGGCCCCTGCCTCTATTCTTTAGTCAAAATAATTATTACATCATAGTGATATGCTTTCTATAACTGGTTATTCTTCTTTTGTTAGACATAACATGAGGATAGAAATACAAACTGCTTCAGGAAAATTCATGTCTAGGAGTTTGTAAAGGATCCTTAAAAAAAATCAAAATGTTCATCTATACTAGTAAGTTGATTTTCAAAGAAAAAAATGTTGGGACTGGCATTACTGTCCTCTCAGTCTTTTAAATGACTTTATTGATCATATTATTTATAGAAGCCCCCAAAGAGTAAATACTGTATTTTACAAAAGAAAAATAATCAGTAAGGACAGACACTTAATAATTTTCCCCCAAAGTAAAACCTGAGTTGTGCCTCAAGAGTTGTATTTAGATTTGCCTAATTATAGAGAGCAACAGTAATGTTACCTAAATATGCCAGTAAGTCATATCTAGCAAAATTGAGTGATTAAATTCTACTCATTTAGACATTTTTATTTTGCTTTTAAATATAGAAACATTTAAAAACTGGTGATTTTTTTTTTGTTTCATTGCTCATTTGGTATAGGCTTTGTGTGTATGATTAGGTTCAAGATTGAATGTAGATAATTTGTTTTGTCTTCAACTCTCAAAAATTTAGTGGTTACTAGAGAGGGAGGGGAAGGAGGCTAGGAGGGCCATCAGCAGTGGGCACAAGACTTTTGGTGGTGGGTGAGGAAAGGCGTATACACAGAGGAAGGTGTACCCCCAATTTTGTATAGTTTTTTATAAGTGGTAAATCAATAACATTTTATTAAATAAAAAATGCTGAAATATTTTTTTATTTATTAAATTAAAAAAAATGCCTGATATAGCTGGGCCTATATTAGGACCCATTCCTTACTATAGAAAGGGTATTTCTCTTTTCCCAGGACAGTAATGCCAATAAGTCATTTACCCTAGTTCTAGGGTTCAGAATTTAGAGGAATATCTATTAATTTCCATAGAAAATGAGTTTCTGTGAAGTATAAATAATAGTTATTTTTTTGGTCATAAATGTTTGCAAATAATTCCAAGTTTAATTCTTCACTTTATCTAAATTCTGTAAAATGAAAATTATGAAGATAATTGAGCACAATTTAAAATATAGGAGAAAATTATTCCAAATGTTCCTTTTTTCTCCCCCCCACATTAAACTGGTCACTGTTTATCCTTTGTTGATTGCAAAATAAAGGGGTTCCTTATGAATTTTCTTTGCTGTTAACATTTTAGCTAAAAAGTTCAAATAGAAAAGTATTTTTTAAACATTTGTTGGCTGTGGAAGAAATTCAGATAAAATCTGTTTTATAAATCCAAGATAGAGCCTAGATAGAAATCATGTTGTTGGTAAGTCTTAGGGTTAGTATGTTTAGAAACTTCCTGAAATATACTCACATGTGTACTTTTCTAGAAAGATTTTTTTTCTAACACACATCAGATTTCCAAAGTGATGCATAATTCAGGAAATATTAAGAACAGCCAATGACTGATTAAATAAGTGTATGAGTAAAGGAAACTTTATCAGGAGACTAAAGTTCTTTCTATTCTGGTACTTCTGGCCCATGACTGTGGATCAGTCCCACAAATGATCTCATCCTAAATTTTCCCAAAATAATTAGGCTTATATTATTTCCAAAATTTTTACACTGAAAACTGGAAAAGGACATTAGTG